ATGTACCCAGCAGTCAGCAAGAAATTGTCCAAAGTTCCCATTGAAAACCTTTTACTGAGATAAAGAAGACTGTTTTGCTTTGACGTTGATGTTTGGAAAGTGCTGGCTGGGGAGAGGTTAAGGAATGATGTCCCTCGTTCCAATTTTTCATAAGGGAAACCCAAAGTCTATGCCCAGAACCTCATGTTCCTGAGCAGTTGAAGTAGGGATCACCCGGCTCTCAGGGGAGAACCCTAAAAGGTATGGATGAGAGATCCTGGCAGTTATTCATCTACCAGGGCCTGCACTTTCTTCCCTGCTCCAAGATAATAAGGGCAAGAGTGGCTGTAATGTCCGTCACTACCAAAATCACCTTCCCCAAGTGCACGCTGACCTATCTGCCTCTCAGAGAGAGCAGGGAAAGTGAGGTGGAATAGCCATTCCTCTTACACTGAAAGCAGAAAAGCAAACGGATAGAAAACACCAGCAACACGGGAGTGAGGCAAATGAGGGAGATGGCCGTTTGCCGCCTGTGCGAAAGTGCTTTCCTTCATTCTTCTTTAATGACTTTTTCAAAGGTCAGGAACAGACCACTTTCCTTAGAGAATGTGGGCCCAGTGCCAATCCTGCAAACCCAGTTCTGACAGTGAGAAATAGGGTGGGGGTGATGGGAGTGCGCCGCAGACCTTACCATGGTGCCTGCCAACTTCAGTCCAGAACAGCCGATGCCTAGAGCTCTGGCTGCACATAACAATAAAACACTGGCTTTTAAGCCATCGTCAGAGGTCCTGTAACAAGCAGCCCTAGGTGGTTCTAACTGCCACGGAGGGGCTAAAATTCAGGGGAAAACTAAAAAATGCTATGACAAGGTCACAATGAGCAATGAACAGGAGTTCACCCTGAAGCCCAGGCTTGGAAGCTCTGTTCCTCCCTCATCTTAAGCTGCAAAGCCATTGAGACCTTGGGCAGACCGAGTCTTCTCATCACAATGGCTTCATCACATGTTTTCCAATGAATTTACAAGGCACTGCTCAGTCTCAGGTGGGAATGGGCACTCTTCTTGCCAATCAGAATTCAGGTTAAATTCAATGTTTTTTTGCCCAAGATGCTGTGTCTTAAAGCACTAAGAACAGTGCCATACTTCTCAAGTTTCCTCTGCCTGTTTTAGAGTGCCTGTCCCTTAGGATAATCAAAGAAGTAAGGTCCGACCACATGAAATACTCCATGACAACGGTGCCTGTGCCTTGCTCACCACTGGATCTTCCACACCCGGCGCTAAGCCAGGCAGAGGAGATATGCCTTGTCAGTTGACTTGAGTGGAAGTGAAATATGTCACACATAAGAGTTAGTGGGAATGAATCATTACTAGCCCCTTTCACAAGAGTAAGTCCATTTATGGGACCAGCAGTTGGAGTAATGGCTATGTCACTGGACTCCCATGTAGTCGACTGTAGTTCGAGTCCTGGACACGGTGGCTTAAACTCACACCGGGTGTGTATGCGTGTGTGCCCAAGATCCCAAGAGGAGAATGGAGGAGAAGGAATTGCAGCATGGCCATCCCTCCTGGGGGGTGATTTCTCGCTTTCTGTCTGTCTTCCTCTCTGTCTTTCTGGCGAGTGCATGTACCCTATAGCAAAAACCTCTCCAAAAATAAATAAATAAATGAAAAAGTCCATTTAATCTGGGAGTCATGATAGCATGAGGTAGCACACACTGTTTGAGGATGCTCGCCGGGCATGCAAGATACACAAGGTCTAGTCTTTGCCTTCAGGTTAATAGGGAAGAAGAACACTGACAGGTGAGGAGGTCTTCCTAAGCCACAGCCACTCTCTGCTGTGACTGACGTGTGGCCCTGGGCAACAGACTGAGTCTTTTTCAGCCTCAGATTTGGTGATTAAGTGCATGCCTCCAGTGCTTTGATGACTGGAATATTTTAATAAAAAGAGCTGAGGCATATCCCAGGACAATTCTACCTGTTGATTTGACCTATGGGGGGCATATATTCTTACCAAAAAATGATAAAAATTAGTAAAACAAACTGACACTTAAAAAAAGATCAAGGAAATACAAATTGAGGCAACTATTGAAAGAAGAGATGTTCAGTGTAACTATAAGTTAAAAATAAACCCTGTCAGAGACTGGAGTGGGAGGAGGACACAATTATATTATGTTTATTTTATGCCTAAGACTTTTATACATATATCTATATATGTATATATAGATATATGTATATGTCTATATGCTCATTTAATCCTCACAACACCCAGTGAAAGGTCAGATTTCCCATGATGACATAGGTAACAAACAGTAGGACAAGGATTTGAATCCATACACTATTACCCTGGAGTCTATGCTTTAAGCTGCTTTGCTAAACCATCTCTCAAAGCAATGTGGTATTGGGAAGAACAATGTCATTACTAAGGCCTGAAATTTCTCTAATCCTACCTGTCATTCTGGTGCCTGCATTTCTGTTAGAAATTAAGGCCTGCCTCCTCCATGGTAATTAATAAATTTAGTCCTCTTCCATCTCATATGCCTTCAGTGCTTATTCAGTATGGTGCATCCCATGTTCTAGAACCTAATTCCACCAGATGTCTGGTATTAATTTCTAAAAGCTTTCTGGTGTTGATCTTTCCTCCTACACCAGCTAGTCAGGGTCCCTATCTTAGCACGTCTTTCTCTCTCTCACGGTATCTGCGCATGAAGTACAGAGTGCAGGCTCAATAAAGGTGTTTTTGACCTGTTAAGTTCAAATGTATTAGGGTGATACATAGGGAGAAATAAACAATTGACCAGAGGCTAATTCTCTTTGCCATAAAATTTTTATTGTGGCATAAGAACTAGCCATACTCCAGAGAACTGCTCAACCTTCACCCTCTTATTTTTTGAATAGTTAAGGCAACTCTCTGCCCCTATCCCAGATAACACTCCTTGCTTTACTTGATAAGATGTTTTGATGAGAGGAAGGGTAGCCAAGTGAAAGGTCCTGATCATTCTCTTGGCTCCAGGCTTAATGCTGTGTTTGGCCCTTGTGGCTAGAGGGGCAGCATCTTCCATCCTCAAGGTCTATGGCTCTGATAGATTCCCCTTGCCAGAGAGGGACTCTCAATGGGCCTGGATGTGACCAATGGGTATTGATAGTTTTATTGAGATTTACAAGAGTTGATTATTAGTTGTAGAGCTTCACCTTAACAATTATCATTTAAAACAAATGGCTGAACCAGCAGATGATATAATGAATGTGTGTATATATACATATATGTATACATATATATACTCATAAATATGAATATAATGAATCAACATTGCTGGACTCCCACAGAGTCGAGCGTGTTTTGATTCCTGTACCCTGGTGGCTTAAAACTCACACCAGTTGCATGTGTATACATGTCCCAAATCCCAAGAGGAGAGTGGAGGAGAAGAAATTGCAATGTAGTCATCCCCTGTGGGGAGTGATTTCTCACTTCCTGTCTCTCTTTGTCTCTCTGTCTCTCCAACAAGCACATGCACCCTGTAGCAAAAATCTCTCCAAAAAATTGATTTAAAAAAAATAAAACAAACGGATTCACATAAACTTGAACCACCATGTTTTTTTAATGTATCAATAAATAATTTTCATTAATGACTTCTTTGTTTTGTGGATGTGAACACTCTTCTGTCTCACTACACCCACAACACACATCTTATTTTTCAGACCAATACAATGACCTAGAAAAGGATCAGTGACCACATATGTGATTGGTCTTCATTGCCAGATCGGAACCTAGGTCACCTTGCACTAGGGCTGTTTTTCGAAATATTCTGCGACAACAAAAATGTTCCAAACTTGTGCTTTCTGATGCAAGCAACCACCAACTACATGTAGTTGTTGAGCACTTGGAGTGTGGCTGGTGTGACTAGAGAACTGAGTTTTTTTTTTTTTTTTAACTTGCTAGAGGGAAGTGAGAAAGCACTCTCTATGGGGAATGGTCACGCCATGTTCTTTTTTCCTCTATTCTCTCTCAGGATTTTGGGTACACACACACGTGTGAGTGTGTGTGTGTGTGTGTGTGTGTGTGTGTGTGTGGACCCAAACTGCAGGGTCCAAGACCCAAATAGTGCAGTCAGCCACATGCTATTCAGCCACCTTAACTTCCATGCTACTGGCTAGCCCAAAGAATCAAGTTTTTACTTGTATCCCATTTTAATCAATTTAAACTTAAATAGCCACATACAGCTAATGGCTATCACTATGATGATGCAATTCTAGTGCAAGGTGCAATAGCACTAGTGCAAGGTGACCTAGGTTCCGATCTAGCAATGAAGACCAATTACATATGTGGTCACTGATCCTTTTCTAGGTCATTATATAGAAGGTTGTTTATAGAAGGCTGTGTTGTAAATATCCCCACCACATTCTTTCTATTCTTTCCACCATAGAAGAACATTACAAAACATTTCTGTAGAGGGGGGAAAAAAAGGCAGCTGTAGCTAAACGAACAAAAGACACTCATGCCAATTATTTATTACCACCTTCCATGTTTATCTTGCGGTTGTTATCATTGAAACCCCAGAACATTAGTCGTTTCCCAAACAATGCATTCTCTTATTTATTTCGGCTGTTGCCATGTTCCTGTTGCCTCCAAGCCCTATTGCTAGAGGCTGACAACTTCTGACAGGCCTGGCACCTCTGCTAACCCACAGCCTCCTAAAAGGAGGCGGAAAGCCCTCTTAAGGAGCATAAAAGAGAGCATGGCTGCAAGCCCAGATTTCTAATCTTTGTCCTCACAAGATTGCATAAATTACTTGGCTTCAAGGCTAAAGCGCAAACTCCACTCATAGGGAGAGTCTCTCATACTTTTGATGGAGTGCTATTCATTTATGAGTCGAGTTGCCAGTCAGTGCGTTTTCCATGTATACATTATAATTGATACACCAGTGGATTCTGGACACCTGGGATCTGGGTATCAGAAGGTAGCTTGAGAGCAAATTCCACTTAGACAGTAATAAGGTCCATTTTTTGCAGAGTTTTCCAAAGAAATTCATGGAATCACAGGAGACTTGAAGAGCAAGAGGTTAAGAGATGAGATGATGCTCATGTAGGCTAGTCTCATGAACAAGTAGCTGGAACATCTGTTTTCCTGTTTCATCACTGGTGAGAACTAAAAGTACAAGATAAAGGCTTCACAAAAGTCCTTTAAAAGCATACTATTTAAAGAAAATGGAAAGAAAAGGGATCAGAATAGAACCAAAGGCCAAAATAGTTTGCTAGACCTGTCATTCTACAACACCCCTTTATAGTCATTATCACTGAGCTTCATGACTATTTTCTGACAGCTAATTTATCTTGAAATCAAGGGACTAATATTCCAGAGGGAAAGGAGAAATACCTAAATAAAAATGGGGACCTTAAAGTCAATTGCCACAACTTCCTCTTTTATATAACGTAAAAGATGACATAAAAGAAAACAGATTTGACCTATCCGGATGGCACAATCAGTAGCAAACTGAACTGCAGTGTAAGAAGCCACATGGCCGACAGCAGGTTTGGATCCCAGGGTCAGCCTGAAAACATATCAGGTGTGTGTGCACATGCCCAAGATCCTGAGAAGCCAAAGCGACAAGGGAACCATGGCGTGACAACACCCGGTAAGGGGGCTTTTCTCTCTCATGCATGCACACATTATTTATCATGAATAAAATAAGTACATTTTTTAAAAAGGCCCAAAGAAACCATATTTTCTCTTAACAATCAAAACATTACCAGTAGACACACTATACAAAATGATTATTATTCAGATATTGGGCACAGGCAGCACAGAATCTAAGCAGAACAACACCTGGCAGTCTTTCTGACTTGAGCAGACAATAGCACTTGGCGATTGGAAGGGTCAAGGCAGCTAGAATTTGCACATCTAAATACTAGAAAACATGGAGGTGCAGAGAAAGAGAAAAGGGTTCGGGAGGGATTTGAGAGCACTCTGGAAATCTACAAAGAGACTCCCTTGAATCCTTCAAAAGTCCTAATCTGTACATGCAAGTGAGGAAACTACTAAGTGTGGGAGAAAAAAAAAATAGAAATAATTAGGAGAAACAATCTCATAATCTCACATAATATTAGTAATAGTTTGTGATTCCTGTAGGCAGAGTAGAAAAGACCTCATAGACACAGGGCAGAGTAGAGTTCTCAGATAGTCTAGAGTCCAATTAGCTCTTTCTATACTAAGGCTTTTCCTTTCCTTTCTTTCTTATTTTCTTTTCCATTGCCACATGGTGGGAGTGCTCACAAAAGAGACAGAGAGAGAAAGTGAGAAAGCACCCCTCCATGGGAATGGCCATTCTACAATTCTTTCTTCTCCATTTCTTCCTCCTTTCAGGGTTTGGGCACTCACATACTCAAGCCTGGCATTTCTTTCAAGCCACTGGGTCCAAGCCTTGAACCACGCAGTTGGCTATGTGGGATCTAACTGCCGTAAACCTGGAATCTTCCCATTTGGGTCAGTCACTCTGAGTGTTATGGTACTACTGTGCCCCTTTCTGGCCCCCCTAGACTAGGGCTCTTCTTGGACCATACTTATCAAGCCTAAAAGCAACCACAAAAGGATGGGATTTATTCCAGGTAACTTAATTGCATCCCAGAATGTATCCTTAAACTATTTAAAGGAATACAACAAAATCCAGTATCCAACTAAATAATCATCCAAGGCCTTGCACGTGATGCTCAAAGATGGACTTGATCATACTGGTAGTGGGAAAGGGTTGAAAAAGGGAAATGAATACCCAATTCACCATTTTTCCTAAAGATGATCTCAACACACTTCATTAACATGTGTATTAGTCCATTATTACGTTGCTAACAGAAATATATGAGACTGAATGATACATAAGGAATAGAGATTTATTTGTTTCACAATTCCAGTGACCATAAAGTTCAAGAATAAGGGCTTGGCAGTTGGCTAGCCTCTAGGCTAAGTCAGAATATGGTTAAAGAAAGCAGGTATGTCAGTAGACATGTACAGAGACAGAGAAAGATGAAAAAGAATTTCCTACTTCTGTTTGTTCCTTTATGGTCTCAGCCAACTGCACATTGACTCCCCACATTGAAAGTGGGTCTTTCAGGGGATGAGCAGGTGCCATGGTGGTTAAGGCACCCACATGACCAACTGTGGTTTGAGTCCTGGACTTGGTGGCTTGTTTTCTCATGTTTTCTCTCTCTCTCTCTCTCTCTCTCTCTTTCTCTCTCTCTCTCCCTCTCACTCTTGTGAGTACACATGCCCTATAGCAAAAATTAAAATAATAATAATAAATTAAATAAATAATTATTTTTCAAAAAGTGAGTCTTTTTTTCTCAATTCACTGACTCACATCTTATCTGTAAAAGTGACCACTACTTTGAAGGTAGTTCTTTCTCTTAAAGGTTTCACCACCTCCCAATGCCATTATATTACGGACCAAATTACAACACATAAACCCTTGGGGGGGGGCAAACCATTACCTAAGCCATAGTAAGTGTGAAAGCTACCTCAAAGTCTCAGAGGTGAATATTTGGTTAACTTTGACCAACATTTCACAGCTCCCTATGTCAATGTCAGCACCCCACAAGGAAATAAGCTATAGAGATAAGCAAGACATGGTCCTTTCTTTCAAGGAATTGACATTCTCATGAGTTTCTCTTTTTAAAAAATGATATTACAGAAAAATGATTCCTTCCTCTACTAATCTCTATTCTGTCCCTTCCTCTGTCTTCTGACTGGCAGCCAACGGCTACTCTGTTCTCCAGCATTGACACTGCTTACTTCCTTTAGTTTTCACTGCAGTTAGTTTGGCTTCCATGTCTGTTAACAGAACAGTGTTTGGTAGATCATACTGATGCAGAAATACAAAGGCAGGTCCAGAACAAAAGATGCACTGAATTAGTATGGCAAGTATTAAACCTTGCAGTGTTTAATCCCAGCCACTGTGAGAATGCTCAAATCCATTGACTCCAGTGTCCCTTCAGAGCTCAACAAATCAAATTAGGCACTCATAATTTTGCCTTTTTGACCAACTTCAGGATAATGCTGGGAACAGACCATGCATTCTCATGAATGTTTGAGAACTAAAAAGATGAAGGTACAGTCTACTGAATCCTCACAGAATGCCTTGTAGTTATTAGGAAATAAGGATCCCAGGAGTGGCTGCCGTGTCCAGAGGTTCCCATGCTTCAATTCAGCTCATTCTTCTTGCAGAGGAAATAGTGGATTGAAGAGTGACCCTTCAAACTCTATATCTACCTGGAACCCATAAATGTAACACAATTTGGAAAAAAGCATTTTCATAGATGTAAATGAGTTAAGGATCTTGAGATGGGATCATCCTGGGTTTGGGTGGCTCTAAATCCAATGACAAACTTTTATAAAAGAAGAGAAGGTGAAACAGAGACAAGAGGAAGAAGGGCCATATAATGGCAGAGGCAAAGATTGGAATAATGTTGCTACAAGCCAAAGATTGCCGGATGCCACCAGAAGCCGAAAAAGGCAATGAAGTGTTCTCCCCTAGAAACTTCCAAGGGAGTGTCAATATCTTAATTGCAGAATTCAGCAACTAAAACTGCAAAGGAATAAATACATACTATTTTAAACAACCAAATTTGTGGCAATTTGTTGCAGCATCACTACAAAACAAATGCAGGGGCTCGAAGCAGTACTCTTATCACTGATGCCATTGACATAAGCCTTCCCCCTGCCCCATCCTGAAGATCCCTGGGGGTAACAGTCCCTCTCTCCTTCCCTCATTCAATTGTCATTTAAGTATGCCATGGACCAGGTATATGAGAATAAACAAAAGGTGGATCCTATTTAAAGAGTACACAGCTAGAAAGGTATAAAGATGGAAACAAGTACAACATCCCTTAACAGGGATGTGGGGACCAGCAGTTGGTGTAATGGCTATGTAACTGGACTCCCATGCAGTCTACCGCGGTTTGAGTCACGCCAGGTGCGTGTGCATGCATGCACAAAATCCCGAGAGGAGAATGGAGGAGAAGGGATTGTGGCGTGGCCATCCCCCCAGGGGATGATTTCTTGCTTTCTGTCTCTCTGTCTCTGTCTTTCTGGCAAGCGCACACCAGAAAGCATATGAAAATGGAACAATGAGCAGGTTTGAATAATGTTTTTTTATTCTTGTTATTCTCGTTATAATTTTGACTTGGACTTCCTACATCCAGAATTGCGATAAAGTACATTTCTGTTGTTGAAGCCACCCAGTTTGTGGTTCTTTATTGTGGCAGCACTAACAAACTAATATACTGAGATAAGAGCAGTGAAGGATACCGAGGAAACCCAGTCCAGCTCTGCCTGGAGGGACCAGGAAAGCTTACCTGAAAAGGGGACTTCTAGGATGCATCTAAAAGGACAGTGGGTTATCCCAGGAAGGGAGAGTGCTGGAAGTAGACAGTTTGAGCAAAAGCCCAGAGTCATGACATAAGGGGAGGTTAGCAGGGAAGTACAGACAAGTCAACAATTTTCATGACAAAAGATGAGTGAGGAATAGCAAGTGATTAAAGTCTTGGCTAAAAGCCCATTGACTGATCTCTTCTTTTCTTTTTTTAAATTTTGCTAGAGAGTATGTGATGTTGCAAGAGAGAGATGGAGAGAGGGAGAGAGAGGGAGAGAAGGAGGTGAAAACACCCCTCACTATGGGGACTGGTCACATAACAATCTCTTCTCCCCCTTCTCTGCTTCCTTTGGGGATTCTGGGCACACATCCACACATACCTTCCATATTTGTGAGGGCTTTTTCATACAGTCTCTATCTCTGGCAATGAACAGCCATTGTATAGTTAGAAGCAGGGCAATGGCATGGTTCGATATGCTTTAAAGAAGCATTATGGATCATTCCGGTGGCTAGGTGGGGACTTCCTGGGAGGGAGGAGAGTCTAGAGGCAGAGTGAGCAGTTGAATGGCTGTATTAATACAGCAGTGCCTAGCGATGGCCGATATGGAGAGAAGAGAATGTTTAGGTGAACTTGTTCGGGTCGTTGGAAGATAAAAGAGAAAAAATTAAAAGTTTCTTGAAAGTTTTAATTTATACAGTTGGTGATACTGTCCTTCGAGGTAGCAGGATTTGTTGTAAATGAAGTGATAATGAGTTTGTAGTCCCTTGGGAGGAGAAAAGATGTCTA